CGCGGTGTGGGCGCGACACTGAGGGTTGCAATCCGTTGCCGGTCACGAAAAAAGACAAAAAGGAAAAAAAAAATCATAATGACCACTTCCAGGCAAATGAAAGTTCTGCATGAATAAACATTAGTGTATGAGTTCTGAACAACATAGGTGCAGAGAGACCCAACTAAGCAGACGTCCTGGAGACCTTGAGAGGCAGGCTCTGGGTCTGGCAGAAACTGCTCCAGTCCTCTGGGGACTCTGCTGTCCCTGAACGAAGGAGGACACCTGGGACCTAGCCCGAGCCTCTGGGAACTTACTTGACGAGTCTCAGTGTGTCCTTTCGGATGTTGATCAGGCTTCTCAGAGTCTTCACGGGTTCTTGGGGAGGTGGGGCGGCATAAGGAAACTGTGTCAGAAACAAAGTAGGAGAAGGCTGTGTGTTTATATAAGACCCATAACTGTCCCTCGCTGGTACAGGGCTTTACGGTTGACAAAGAATAGCCTAGTGAGGTGAGGTGGGAAGGCGTCACTCCCTAACCAAGTGAGGAAACTGAGACTCTGACATATTGAGTTAACTTGCTCAAGGTCACAGCTAGTGGGAGAACTGGGATTCAATTTGGCATCAAACAAGCTAGATTTATCTGCATTTTCCATTATATGAAGCTTATTTTGGGTCAGCATTCAAAACTTGGAGAACTAATCAAAAACTCCTACTGAAGTTCCAAATACCAAAGGACACACTGTGGCTGAATTAATCACTAAAGGCTTTTCCATCTGACCTTAGACAGGGAGCCAGACCTGCAAGCCCTTTCCTTCAGTGAAGCCACATAGTATCCTAGTAATTTAGGGACTGCAAATAAAAGAGAAATTCATCATGTGTACAGAGCTGAGGCTTGCAAACAGAGAAGAACAAATTTCCCCTGCAGCTGATCATATAAAGTAGACTTCTTTAACATGTGAGCCAAGAGTTACTTTGGGGTCATCAAAGGTTTATGGTTGTCTTCATCATTTACCATACACTTTCTAATTCTTCCCCCATTTAGATCTTTGGATTTGAAGTTCTTAGTTGATGATAATTAGGAGATAAAGAAAGGGGAAACAGTAAGAAAATATCACCGGAAATTGCTTTAAGAAGACTGATTTAAAATGTTCCAAGTATTCTTATAATGTTATTTTGGCAATAAAAAATTTTTACATATAATTTGCAGAAAACTTACTGGTCTTTGTAGCTTTGCAAAACTGTGGTTCTCCTAGCTCAAGAAGAGTCTACATCTAGAATGCTGCTATCAGAAAACAGGACCTCCATGTTATAATCTAATTTGTGCCTTCACAGACTTTTACTAAAAGTGGTTATTTTACTTAGGAACCATACTTTAACTATGGTATGTCTGACTTTATATATTCAGAATGATTGCTGATAATTCACATGTATGAATGTGACTCTTAAGAAAATACATTTTATTTAAATTACTCACATTCAGATTATCTACTTTGTGGGCATTATCTGAGGGTACCTGAAAAAGTTAGTGGAGAAATTTGTATTATCTTTTAATTCCATTTTTCCATGAACTTTTTGAAGTACCCTCATATAGCAACATTTTACTTTTTCATTGATACATTAAACATATATTCTTTTAAAAATAATAGTTAATTTTTATAATTACAAAGCAATACATGTTCAAACAGAAAACTTGAAAAACAAAAAAGTACAAAGTCAGCCATAATTTCACCAATAATTCACCATAATTTCACCAATTAAGCAATACCAAAGCTAACGCTGCAGAATGTGTCTTTCTATTTATCTACCTATCTATGTACTGTTTTAAACTGTACATACTATTTTTTGTTTGTTTTTAAATCATGTCATTTGAGTCATATATGTACATACTATTTTACAGACTCTCACTTTGAAAGAAGTGGTAAACATTTTAAAAGTATATAGTTTTGACAACATGTAAAAATTATAGCATACTTTATTTAAACAATTCCTTATTATTTAATGGTTTAAGTTGGTTTTACTTTTTTTTTTGGCTGATATAAATGCTGTGGTGAATATCTTTGTTCCTACATTTCTGCATGCTTGTTTGATTATTTCCTTAGGACAAATTCCTAGAAATGGAATTAGTGGATCAAAGAGTAAGCATATTTTTAAGACTTTAAAAAATATTTTGCCAAATTGTTCTCCACAAAGCTGCCTCTAACTTTGTTCTCCTATGAGCAGTGCTTCAGGAGGCTTTGATATGGGAAAACTGAAATTCTAGCTCAGATCCCATCTGTGGCCCATTTCTCCTCCCCCCACTTTCCTGGGCTGTCACAGTAAAGGAATTTAAAACAATTTAAAAATAAGCTTAAGCAAAAAGTAATCAGGCAGGAAAATCCGACACAAATGCTAGTCTATTCTAAAGCCAAAATAAATGACTTTGGGATTAAAATTTTTTTCTGGAGTAGCGAAGTTAATCATTTTCATTTGTACAGGTACTTGGGAGTTATCCATAGCTCCAACCTGAGTTTAAAAAAAGGGAGGGGAGGTTATTACCCTTTCTCCTCTGTACCTCCCCAAAAAAGAAAAACAAAAGGAAAGAAAAACCCACCTAGCACCCTCCATTCTCCATTTTGACTATTACATTTGAGGACAACTATGGCAATGAAGCATAAGTTCTTCATCTCTCAAGAAAAAGTATTTATGGGATCAACTGTTAATAAATCCACAGCTACACTTCAGGTCTCCCCTCCACCCACAACACACACAAAAGAAAACAATTGAAAATCTGTCTGAGAGAAAATCTTGTTTTTAGGATCCTACCTATCAAAGTTTCTTGGCTATTCTCTTTTTTTTTTTTTTAAAGATGACTAGTAAGGGGATCTTAACCCTTGACTTGGTGTTGCCACCGCCAGGCTCTCCCAAGTGAGCTAACCGGCCATCCCTATATAGGGATCCAAACTCGTGGCCTTGGTGTTACCAGCACCACACTCTCCCAAGTGAGCCATGGGTCGGCCCTTCAGTGAATATTCTTTCCCGCAATCAGAGTCTACATGCAAATTTCAGTGCTAGATGTAAAGAGAGATTTAAAATGGAAAAGATAAGGTCCTGTTCTTTAAGGAAGCTGCATTATAAGGCAAATAAAATAGCTACATAAATAATGGTAATATTAGAGAGAGAGAAATGCCACCAAAAAGGGGCAAAAAACAAAGGAAGTGATCGCTTCTGGCTGAGGTAATCTGGAAGGCTTCCTGGAAGAGGTGGTATCTGATCTAGGAACTTGAAGGATAAATGGAATCTGTACATTCAGAGATGACAGAGAAGACAGTAGAATCAGAAGCAAACTGAAGAAAATATTTTTCTAGCTGGGGACCAGACCCGCCCCCCCCCCACAACCAGGCACATCGCCAGTGCCTCAGGGCACCCCCCAGAGACCCAAGGCATGGATCTGGGGACTGAATTCTCCACCTACAACCAGGCACAGCACCAGAGCCTTGGGGCCCACCCAGGGACCTGAGGCATGGAGCCAGGGACCAGACCCCCCTCCCACAACCAGGTACACTGCCACTGCCTTGGGGCCAGACAGGAGGGCCTGAGGCATGAAGCCAGGGAACAGACACCCCCTCCCACAACCAGGCACACCACCAGCACTTTGGGGCCTGCCTGGGGGCCTGAGGCATTGAGCCAGGGACTGGACCCCCCCCACACAACCAGGCATGCCAAAAACAAGGAGCATGCCAAAAACATCACCTCCATGTGGGTGGCCCACCACAGCCACCACAGTAACTATGGCTGCCATGAAAGCAGCTAGATGTCACAACCACCATACAGATGGTCCACCAGCCACTGGAGTGCATTGACACAAAGAGAGTCACCAGCAGAGACCAAAGAAAAGAAGAGTATGTCTCTCTCCACAAAGCTCATTC